CCATTGAGGTGACTAATGCTCTTGAAAGTTCATCCAAATCTGCCATCCAAGTAATGAAATGGGAATATTTTATTGTTTCTTATTTTACAAGTACTTCCTGAGCATCAAATTTGTGCTAGATACTAGATTTATAGTTACAAGTACAACTAATACATGGACACTCCTACTTGGAGTATACAGTCTAGTACAAAGAAAAAGCAAAAATCTGAACAACTAAATGTAGTTTTAGATTCAGCAAATGCTATCAACAAATGGAGCACCATAAACATGCAGTGGAGGTAGGTCCTACACTGAGAAGTCCAGAGAAACCTCCTGGAGGAAGTCACATTTTAGCTGAGGTGTGAAACATGAAAAGGAACCAACCATGAAATAAAGAAAAGTAGCAAACACTTCAGTCAGAGGAAACAGAAGGTACAAAGATCTCTGATGGGAAAGACAGCTTCTTCCAACAGGTGACAACCACTGTGGTTACAAATTAGAGACTTATTTCTACATAATAGATACCAATGTGTCTGAATATGAGTGCATGTGAATGCAAACAATGTAAGGTATAATTAGATTACTCTTTTCTGAATTCTTAAACATGAGTTTAGAAGTGATATCTAGACTTTTTCCATCATCCTATTTCACATAAGGTTGAGTTCTATAAGAGGATTAAGGGATGGACAATATTTTGTACATTTTCATCAATTCAAGCAAAATGGTTTTCATATTTTATTACTTTTATGAAAAGCCCCTGGTTGACTTAAACAGACTGTATCTTTGCCCGCTCCATTCATTTTTTTGCTTTTTTGTGGCTTTTGGTCAGCCATTCACTCTGCACCATGTGTATCTGTGATGATCTATGCATCACATACCTCATGCACCACATTGCCTAGTGTCTAATTCTCCAGAATACACTTGGGTATCATTCTACAAGTTAACAGAAGGTCAGTTAATATCATTGAATTCTAAATTCCTTTCAATTAAGCAAAACCCTCCATAGGAGCCTCAAACTTCTGGTCTTGTATCTCTAACTGCATCATTAAGCCTATTCTGTAATAGAACAGCAAGTTCAAGAAGTCAGACTTTGAAATTGTGCAAATCTAAGTTCCCCTCTTAACTATTTTTATTGGTTGACTTTTTCTAAACAAACTTTAAAATGTTAATAGAAATGTTATCCAAAATGCTGTTTGTGTTTGTATGGTAAGTACTGGCACTAACATTTGTACTGGTACTGTAATCAACTACTACAACCTAGTGCTTTGAACACCGTAAACATTGGTATGCAGGTATCTGTGAAATGTTGACTTGGAGTGCTTTGTGTAAACACACCGTGTGTGTGTGTGTGTGTGTGTGTGTGTGTGTGTGTGTGTGTGTGTGTGTATCCTATTTTTTTAATTTTATAATTTAATTTAATTTTACATATCAGCCACCGATTCCCTTGTTCTCCCCCCTCCCGCCACCCCTCCCTTCCCCCCAGCCCACCCCACATTCTCATCTCCTCCAGGGCAAAGACTCCCCTGGGGACTGAGTTCAACCTGGTAGATTCAGTCCAGGCAGGTCAAGTCCCCTCCTCCCAGGCTGAGCCAAGTGTCTCTGTATAAGCCCCAGGTTCCAAACAGCCAGCTCATGCACTGAGGACAGGTCCCAGTCCCAGTGCCTGGATGCCTCCCAAACAGATTAAGCTAATCAACTGTCTCACTTATCCAGAGGGCCTGATCCAGTTGGGGGCTCCTCAGCTATTGGTTCATAGTTCATGTCATAGTCGTTTGGCTATTTGTCCCTACGCTTTTTCTAATCTTGGTCTCAACAATTCTCACTTATACAAACCCTCCTCTTTCTCGCCAATTGGACTCCTGGAGCTCCACCCAGGGCCTGGTCATGGATCTCTGCATCCAGTTCCCTCAGTCATTGGATGAGGTTTCTAGCACGACAATTAGGGTGTTTAGCCATCCTATTACCAGAGTAGATCAGTTTGGGCTTTCTCTCGACCATTGCCAGTAGTCTATTGTGGGGGCATCTTTGTGGATTTCTGTGGGCCTCTCTAGCACTTTGCTTCTTCCTATTCTCATGTGGTCTTCGTTTATCATGATCTCTTATTCCTTGTTCTCCCTCTCTGTTCTTGATCCAGCTGGGATCTCCTGCTCCCCCAAGCTCTCTTTCCCTCGACCCTCGCCCTTCATTACCCCCACTCATGTCCAGGCTGTTCATGTAGATCTCTTCCATTTCTCCGTCATTGGGTGATCCCTGTGTCTTTCCTGAGGTCCTGTTTTCTAGGTAGCCTCCCTGGAGTTGTGAGTAGCAGTCTAGTCATCTTTGTTTTACATCTAGTATCCTCCTATGAGTGAGTACATACCATATTTGTCTTTCTGAGTCTGGGTTACCTCACTCAGGATGATTTTTTCTAGATCCATCCATTTGCCTGCAAATCTCATGATGCCATTGTTTTTCTCTGCTGAATAGTATTCCATTATATATATGTACCACATTTTATTTATCCTTTCTTCAGTTGAAGGGCATCTAGGTTGTTTACAGGTTCTGGCTATTACAAACAATGCTGCTATGAACATAGCTGAGCAAGTGCCCTTGTGATATGATTGAGCATTCCTTGGGTATATGCCCAAGAGTGGTATAGCTGGATCTTGGGGGAGATTGATTCCCAATTTTCTAAGAAAGCACCATATTGATTTCCAAAGTGGTCGTACAAGCTTGCATTCCCACCAGCAGTGGAGGAGAGTTCCCCTAGCTCCACATCCTCTCCAGCATAAGGTGTCTTCAGTGTTTTTGATCTTAGCCATTCTGACAGGTGTAAGGTGGTATCTCAGAGTTGTTTTGATTTGCATTTCCCTGATGATTAGGGATGTTGAGCAATTCCTTAAATGTCTTTCGGCCATTTGAGTTTCCTCTGTTGAGAATTCTCTGTTTAGTTCAATAGCCCATTTCTTAATTGGACTGTTGGGCATTTTGATGTCTAATTTCTTGAGTTCTTTATATATTCTGGATATCAGTCCTCTGTCAGATGTGGGGTTGGTGAAGACCTTTTCCCATTCTGTAGGCTGTCTCTTTGCCTTGTTGACTGTATCCTTTGCTCTACAAAAGCTTCTCAGTTTCAAGAGGTCCCATTGATTGATTGTATCTCTCAGTGTCTGTGCTACTGGTGTTATATTTAGGAAGTGATCTCCTATGCCAATGCATTCAAGATTACTTCCTTCTTTCTCCTCTATCAGGTTCAGAGTAGCTGGATTTATGTTGAGGTCCTTGATCCACTTGGAGTTAAGTTTTGTGCACGGTGATAGATATGAATCTATTTGCAGCCTTCTACACGTTGATATCCAGTTGTGCCAGCACCATTTGTTGAAGATGCTTTCTTTTTTCCATTGTTCAGTTTTGGCTTCTTTGTCAAAAATTATATGTTCATAGGTGTGCGGATTAATGTCAGGGTTTTCAATTCGATTCCATGGGTCCACATGTCGGTTTTTATGCCAGTACCAAGCTGTTTTTACTACTGTAGCTCTATAGTAGAGCTTGAGGTCAGGGATCATGATGCCTCCAGAGGTTGTTTTATTGTACAGGATTCTTTTGGCTATGCTGGGTTTTTTGTTTTTCCATATGAAGTTGAGTATTATTCTTTCCAGGTCTGTGAAGAATTGTGTTGGTATTTTGATGGGTATTGCATTGAATCTGTAGATTGCTTTTGGTAAGATTGCCATTTTTACTATGTTAATCCTGCCTATCCATGAGCATGGGAGATCTTTCCATTTTCTGACATCTTCAATTTATTTTTTCAGGGACTTAAAGTTCTTGTCATATAGGTCCTTCACTTGTGTGTATCCAATTTTACTTCCAGAATTGCCCTCTCTTTTTCCCCCTTCTCCTTTCTGATAATTATATACATATACATATACATATATATATATATATATATATATATGAGCTGAGAAGCTACATTTGAGAGAAATTGTGAGATATTTGTCCCTCTTCCCCTTCATTACCTCACTTGTTCCCATCACTCCATTCTTTTAGATGCTTCCTACAATGCAGTCCTCATCCTGCTGTCATGTCTTATTTGTATTGATTTTTTTTTTTTTTACCTACAGGAGTCCATGTATAAGTAAAAATATGTGACTGATATTTCAAGTCTGTCTTGTTTTTCTGTTGTTGTTGTTGTTTTGTTGGTTGGTTGGTTTTTTTTGTTTTGTTTTGAGGCACGGCTTCATGAAACCCACGCTGACTTTAAATGCACAATATAGCCACGGCTGGCCTTGAACTCCTGATCTTCCTGCCTTCTCATGCCAAATGTTGAAGTTACAGGCATGCACTACCATGCCCAATTCAGGCTTGTGTCAATTAATGTAGTCATCTCCAGCTCCATCCATGTTCCTGCAACTGACATAATTTCATTCTTCTTTACAGCTAAATAAAATCCACCATGCATATTTTTTAAGGAACAAGATATTTGGAGATAAATTTAATGAATTATATTTTATCATAAATTTAAATGATAATATTAATAAAGAAAATATATGTAGATTTTTCCTTCTCTTTTTTTTCTTTTTTCTATTAAATTTTTATTTTATTTTATTTTGGGGATAGGTTGCAAGGGCAAAGTGGATACAAAGGAATGGGGAAATGAATGGGATGGAGATGCATGATGTGAAACCACAAAGAATAAATAAAATAATATATATAAAAGAAAATATAAGTAAATAATAGGCTCATTCATGTTAATGGATTGAGATTGAATAGTGTTCAGTTTAGCTCTCAAGTCGCCTATGGAGATGATGTGACCCCAGTCTAGATTCCAGCATTCTCCTCTGTAGACACTTTTCCTAAGAGGCACATGAAAATGCGTAATGATTTTGAGAAAGAACAATAAGGAAAGACTCACATAACATCTCTTCAAGCCCACTATAAAACTAAAATGGCCAAGTCAGTGTGCTCATATGTAAGTATAGACACGTAAGTTGATGAGGCAGAGTAAAGAATTACAAATCCACACTTAAAAGAGCAAGTCATTTTCAGTAGAAGTCATTTAATAATGAAACAGTCATCTCAAATTGTGCCAATTCAAGTCAATGGATGAATAAAATAATCTCAAACATACTTATTTCATACAAAAACTAAACCCCAAAGAGATCATACACCTAGAATTTAAAGATAAAACTGTAAAATGTGTAAAGTAAAACAGTCAAAAATCTTTGAGACTTTGAGGTAGACAGATTCCAGTGTGAAAGGGTCAACCACAAAAATAAAAAAGTTAGAATCAATTTTATCAAAATGTTTAGCTTTTGATTGGAGTATTTTATTAAGAAAATAAATGTTCCGGGCTGGAGAGACGGCTCAGTGCTTAAGAGCCACTTGTTACTTCCACATTAAGGATGCAGCCACGACTGTTGCTGTCATCACAATGATTTCATGAGCAAATTTGTCTCTGCCTGAGATGCTTCATGGCATTCTTCACCTCCTCATTCCTCAAGGTGTAAATGAGAGGATTCAACAAAGGGGTGACCACTGTGTAGAAGACAGATACCACCTTGTCAATGGAGAAGCTGGTGTCTGGCCGAGTGTAGATGAAGATACATGGCCCAAAGAACAGGGCAACCACCATGAAGTGGGAGGAGCAGGTGGACAGGGCTTTCCGACGACCTTCTGCTGACTGTTTTCGAAGAGAAAACAGGATTACTGTGTAGGAAGTGACCAAGGCTAGGAAACAGGTGAGGGAGATGGTTCCACTATTGGACACAATCAGAATCCCTGTGAGGTATGTATCTGTGCAGGCCAGCTTGATGACAGGAGGGACATCACAGAAGTAGCTGTCGATAATGTTCGGGCCACAGTAGGGTAGACGAATAGTCAAGAAGGTCTGCACAAGTGAATGAATGGTGCCCCCCACCCACAGTGCAAAGACAAGCTGTACACAGACCTTCATGTTCATCACAGTGGGGTAGTGCAAAGGAATGCAGATAGCCACATAACGGTCATACGCCATAATTGTCAGCAGAAATATCTCGGCACAAGCAAAAAGATGTAGGAAGAAGAGCTGTGCGATGCAGTTGTCAAAGGAAATGGTCTTCCTCTCCAAAAGCAAACCCTCCAGCATCTTGGGCACGGTGACAGATGAGTGGCAGATATCAATGAAGGACAGATTGCTCAGGAAGAAGTACATGGGAGTGTGTAGACGTGGACTAAAGACTATGGTAACAACAATGATAATGTTCCCCAAAAGAGTTAGCACGTAAGTGATGGTAAATGGTATGAAAAGCAGAATCTCCAACACCCAGTTGTCAGTGAGGCCCAGGAAGACAAACTCAGTCACTCTTGTTTGGTTTAGAGCTCCCATCTAATGAGTGTTCCAGAGGATCTGGAGGGGAGAGGTAAATTTTAAATTATCCTGAGTAATCAGGGATAAAGTGATTGAAATGACTGTTTTTCTATGAGACTTAGCATGAATATGTAAGTTATCCAAAATCCTTATCCTTTATTTACCTGGCTATTTTCATTTCAGAATAACCCACCAATAGTATCAGATTAGAATTCTAAAATTGTAAAACTCCAACTAAAACCACTCATTATTTGACTTTTGCTATTAAGATAAGTGACCTTCAAAACCTTTAACAGTCTTTTGTTTTGTCCAGTCTAGGGTCCTTTTACAACCATTAAAATACTATTCATCTTTTACTTGATTTTTTATTATCCCAAAGCACTAACTTTAGGAAAAACTCTCCTGATTCCATAAAAGCCTGCTTCTCTTTGATAATTATTTTATGGTACTTAACTATAATAGAAAGTAAGAGATTTAGTTTTTATTCTCATTAACTAAACTTTTCTCTAAAAGTACAGAAGTAACAGAAAGATTATAAGAGCCAGAGGACCAGGAAAACCTGCTGTGAGAATGTGTCCCCTAGAAATGATGGGGAAGCCTCACCCATGATACTTCAATATGGCTACCTAAACAAGACCTGAACAAGCACAATACCAATAGACACACCAACATGGAAGAGGGGAATCTCATGGGGCCCAGCCCTAAACAGAGAAGTACAGGCAACTAAGGAATACTTAGAGTGGAAGAAATAGTCTTCCCCAGAGTTGAGCCTTCTATTTGGTTATCCAGTACCAAGTGTTCAGCTCTGAAATGATATAAACACAAGTAACACTAAATGTTCAATGGATTGAGCAAGTTGTATTTATATAATTATGCATGTATATATTTGTGTATAAATATTGTATATATATATTGTATATATATGATAATAATTAAAGAAAAAGAGGCTATGAAATTAAGAGGAAGCAAGAGAAGGTATATGAGAGGGATTCGAGAAAAGGAAGGGGGAAAATAACATAATTAGATTTTAATTGTACAAAATTTTTAGTTTTTCAAAAAGTAATAACCACATGATCTACCTCTTGCAGTACTTTGAAGGTGCCTTGTACATTGTAAGTTTCCAAAACCATTTTATTTGTACTAAACTAATTTCTTGTGAATTCAAGGCATTGTGAATCCAATCATCCCCTCACAATAGAACTAATAAGCCACAAATTATGATTCTTTAAATTCTATAATATGACTTTTCTGCCAGGAAATATTATGTACAAATACTATCACATTGCTCCTAATTGTTCATGCTGATTAGGGAGACCATAAACTATAAGACAATCAGCACAAATCACCAAAACAATGAAGCTTTGATCCAACTATTTCACTTATGGTAAGGTAATCTCTTACAGTATCCAAACCACAGAAAAAGCTAAAGGTGGAAGAATATTAAACCTAGTACTATTTGAAGCAATCTAATAACAGTCATGAGGTTGAGTGGGGGAAGTCTGAATGAACGCAGTGAAATTTGACCAGACATGTATCCAGCCATTCGAAATGATGGCGACAAGATTACCAACATGACAGCTATTGAAACAGTACGTAAGAGTGACATTTGATAGTGTATTCTCAACATCTTGCTAGATGGTGGTGCTATATTAGTTATCAAAAGACAAAGAGAAGTCGGGAAAAGGTGACAAAACAAATATGACAGAAAAGGAGAATACTCTTATTCAAAAACCCTTAAAATTTGATAGTAAAAGACAAATGATCAAACTGAAAATGAGCAAAGAATATAAACACAAAGATTACAGAAAAGGAATCACAAATGAGAATTATGTCTAAGTGAAAGTTGTTCAACTTCAGTGGAAGTTAGAGATTAAAACCAAATACATTTGGTTTTGTCACATTGACCAAAGCATAAAAAAAAAAAACTGATCATTCTTTACATAGCGTTACTGAAAGTCAGTATTCTTAAAACTTTTTGTGGGCTAAGTTGGCAGTACCAATGAGAATTTTAATGTCTATACTTCTAGACCAAGGAATCCCATTTTCAAGACTGTATTTCTTTGTTTTTTAAGACTGTATTTCATAGAACTAAGAGAACCGGTAACTAGTAACTAAAGATACATGCTTATTGAAATACTTTTTTGTAGGAGCCAGAGGGGTCAAGGACATCACAAGAAAATGCACAGAATCAACTAACCTGGATTCATAGGAACTCCCAGAGACTGAACTGACAACCAGGGAGCCTGCAAGGGATTGACCTAGGCACTCTGTATATATGTGATACTTGTGTAGCTTGGTCCTCTTGTGGGACTCCTAACAGTAGGATCAGGGGCTGTCTCTGACTCTTTTACTGGCTTTTGGAACCCTGCTCCTCATACTGGATCACCTTGCATGAAAAGAATCTATTATGAACATATTGTGAGTGTTGAAAAGGGAAGGAGAGAAGAAGAAAGGAACACAGGAAGGAATCAAAAGGCATTTGTATATGCATATATGTACATGTATATATATTTTAATATACAAATATATGTAAATATTCATTATTTCTATTTGTATATATTTTTAAAATAGATGTTGAAAAATACACATCAATTTTAATATTGTTTGCGTCCATGAGCATGGAATTGAAAGGAATAGGAAGATTTTAGTAATTTTTATATTATATTTTATAATTATCTATATACTAGGCACGCATTAAAAAGAGAATATTAAAAAAATGTATGTAGAGAAGATATCAAAAAAATGGTGACCTCATAGAGCTACAAGTCATTTCTTACTTGTCTGTGTCTAAGGGATTATGATATGGTTGTATTGTTGTTTGTCTTGCTTTGTGAAACAGTTTCACTATACTACTCAGGCTGGCCTAGAACTCCCTTTGTAGTCCAGGATGACCTTGAATCTTGTGCCTTCCCACAGTCCCATAAGTGCTGAAGTTACAGGCATGCACAAACATATCTCGCTACAATTGTATCTTTTATAAAGAAAGATGCCTGCACTGAACATCATCTCTGTCTTCATTAAAACATGAAGCCACACAGTCATTTTGCTTTGGTTTTTTAATGATACTGGCAACTGAACCCATTTAATGTATGGGTCTAGGCAGGTACTCTACAACTGAATTATATTCTAAATCTATGAGGACTCTCAAATACAGAAAAAATTAGACTTAGTACATTGCAAAATAAGGATGTTAAATAAAAAATATTAAATTCAAATTATTGAGTAAAAAAATGTTAATTAAGATATGCCTCTTTGTGGGGCAAGGGGAGAGATGCCCCCCCACCGTTACCCCTCGCCACTCCCTCTCACCAGCTGCAGCACTCAGGAAAGCAGGCCCTGCTCCTCATCTGGGCAGCACAGTAGAGCTGACCCATTGGCGGAGGCAAAGGTGAGCTGGCCCTGAGGGTGTGAGAGTGGGGTAGCTGGCCACATCAGCTTGTCTGCCATGTGATGGTGAGGGCAAGGGAAAGATGCCCTCCCCTGCCTTGCCTAAGCTTACCACCTGTAGTGGGCGAGGGAGCTGACTTCCCCCTTACCAACTGCAGCACTTGGCAAAGTGGGTCTTGCACCTCGCCTGGGCAGCACAGTGGAGCTGGCCCTGAAGATATAGTGTGGGATAGCCAACTCTAAGGGTGTGAAAGCTGGAGAACTGGCCCCGCCCCTTGCTCATTGCTGCATAGGGTGAACTAGCCAGGGTGGTGCTGGAGAGCGCAGCCTGGTAGTGAGGGCAGGGGAGAGCTGGCAACTGACCAACCCTGCAACTACCCAGGCCCAGAACCAGGGTTATGAGTTGGCCCGCCCCAACATCCAACCCATCTATGATCTGCTGGAGCAAGTGAGGGGGCTGGTCCTGCAGATCCAAATGCTGCAGGATCTCCATGGCACAGGGCAACAACATGATATTCAAGAGGAGCCCCAGTGAGGGCCCAGCATAGCATGGCAGAAACCAGGGGCCTCAAACCAAACCAATAACTCTTTATAATGAACACTTGCAAATAAAGATATGTGAATAAAAGGGTTTACTGTGTGACTCACTCTGTCACACTACAGCTTCCATGGAAAGAATGATTTTTCCTATATTTTTTCTTTTTTTTCCTCTTAAATTTTATTTTATTTTATTTGGGGAAGGAGGTCGCAAGGGCAGAGGGCAGACACAAAAGGATGGGGAAATGAATAGGATCGAGATGCATGATGTGAAAGATTCAAAGAATAAATAAAAAGAAAGTTTTCAAAAATGCCTCTTGGGGGCTGCAGAGCAGCCCTGTGGTCAAGCATTCACCTAACATACACAAGGCCCTATGTTTGATACTCAACAGAAGAAATGGAGGGAGGAAGAGGGAAAGTGGAAGGAAAGAATTCCTCTTTTATTGACTTAGTAATAGGCCTTTTAAAATAAAGAAAACTATTATCCGGGTATTGTGTTGTTATCTGGGTGTTATAGCACACACCTATAATCTCAGCGCTTTGGAGGCTAAGGAGGAGGGATCAAACTTTCCAAAGCCTGTGCATGCTGAAACACAGTGCCATGCTGCTTAAAGCACACTAAATGAAAAGAAAGCAAGGAACCAAGCAATGTTTAAGGAACAATAGGCTCTAACCATGCACCCCTTGAGGAAAGGGAAATATTTCTTTTTGTATCCCTGTAACAAAGTACTTGTCACACACACACACACACACACACACACACACACACACACACACACACACAAAAAAAAAAAAAAAAAAAAAAAAAAAAAAAAAAAAAACACCTCACTAAATACTTTTTAGCTGGAAAAAAATTTAAATAATATTACAAATAAAAAAACAGTGAAAAGAACAAACTTTGGAGAGACAAGCTGACAAGCAGTAGATGTGTATTCTATCATGGAGCAGGAGAGCCAAAGGGCCAGAACCCCCACTGGGCACGAGGAATGTGCCACGGTGTGCATAGTGAGGCAGGGAAAGCCAGCGGCCAGCTCACCTGTTTAGCTCCTCCTAGAGTTTTAGAATTCCCACAGCAGCTCCCCATCACAGGCCACAGTGACTTTCCCTTTTGTTGATTACTCCTCTGTAGAGGTTATTGCACGGCCAGAGACTAAGCCCTTTGTTTTCAGACTCCTCAGCTTAAGCCTCCTGGTGTCTGTCATTGTATCGGAAATCCCCAAACTGTATTTCCTGTCCTCTGCTGTATGTTTCTACATGACCTCTATTTGAACACTGCAGGGCCAAACCTCGGTGAAGACACACTTAGAAGGGACTCCTTTGGTAAAGGGAAGCCTCGGGGTCCATCACAGTAGCCTACCATTTTTAGCTTCAGGTGTATCTAAAAAATGCTGGGCCGCCAAGACCTTGCTTGAATGAATCCAGTATGAGAAAATGTTCTACACTAGTAGAATGTCGGGGGGATAAAAAGAGGCACAGAGGTACTCCCAAAGACACTTTAAACTTTTGACAGCTTCACAGCCCTAGTGAGATGGAGTGCAATAGACTTCAGGAGCGTTTTAGGCCTGGTGTCATCATGTCAAGATTAGAACTCCAGCCCATCACCCGCTAGAGGTCTCCCCTGTTTGGCGGATTGCTGCAGACAACTGAGTTAAATTAATTCTTGGATCTTTTGCCAGATAGTACTTCATTTCTTTTTACTTTCTTTTTCTCTTTTTTTTTTCTTTTTTGTCTTTAAAATAGTCTACATCATGTTTTATTTTTAAGACTCGACTCTTTACTGTATAAATGAGATCATCAGCCTGGTGGCCAACCAACACAGAAAACAAGGATTCTGAGAAGGAAAATTGCACTCAGAGAAACGCAGGAATGCCTTCTGCTCTGCATGCAGAGAAATGCCCCAACTTCACATCCCACACGCATGGGTGCAGTCATGATGAGCCCCAGAGAACAACCCTAATAGGGAAGCCCAGGCAGCTTAGGTAAGCCACCGTGCCTCAGCTAGTCCTCCGTATCTTCTCGGGAGCATCCCAAAGCTGATCTTTGAGCTGGCTTTCCAGAGCACAGAGGAGCGTTTTCCTCTGGTGATGAGACAAACAAGCAAGGAATAGGTGGGCACATGGTAGCAAGGAGGTTTCTTCTCTGGTGGATTTTGTCAAGCTCAGCAGTCATTCTATGAACTCTTCTAGGAATTGTGCTAGAGAGTCAAACATGAAGACCCAGAGGGAAGGGAGAGTGTTGGTCCCTCCTGACTCCAACCCCCCCACCCCACAGTCCATTGATTCTTTCAGTAATCAGAAGAAGAAAGAAGACTAGAAAAGGTAACAAACCATAGCCTCAAATATCTACGGAGTCTAGGAGTGTGTGTGTGTGTGTGTGTGTGTGTGTGTATGCATGCACATGTGCATGCATTGTGTACTACTGGGATGCATGGGATGCATGTATTCCGGCACATTTGTAGAGTAGCACCTTTATAGAAAGCAGCACATCAAAAAGAAAAATATGGCCAATTCTGAATACAAAAGAGGGATTAAAATCAATCTAAGTTAAAAGTATTGCTGTGAAGTTTCTGAGCCACCACATAGATACAATTTATCCGATAAATACCTGGAAAAGAATCTTGTTCAGTGCCGTGTCACAGTGTAGCCAGGTGCAGACCCAACAAAGGATGGGAAGGAGTGTCAATAAAGGGTGCTGTCACTACCGATGTTCTCAGTGTCCAGAAATGATCTGGCTAATTCATAGAATGGTATTATGTTCTTTCATTCACTCTTCTTGTAATTCCTTCAAGAGATAAAACACAAACAGTGAAATAGTTTAAATAAGTAACTCACTCTGATTTAGGTAACTAGTCTTCTGTGTGAATAATTATATCATTGTAATATTGGTCCTTTGGGCTATTTTTAAAGATTTTCCTTTCTCTGAAAATTCTGATTTATCCTTTCAAATGCTTTCTCCTTCTTTCTGACCAGGAAAAGAAGAATTAAGCCTAACTTTTCCAGTGTCACTTCAAGCAGTCACTAAGCGTGACGTCCACTAGAGCGTACATTAATACCTCCCCAGATTTGTCCCTCAAAGGTGAGACATTCATCCTGCATGTTTTGCATACAAGAAAAATACTTATTCTAGGTAATATAAATGTATGGTTACTTGAGGAGATATGACCTGATACTAACATTAAGTATAAATTTTGTTCTAGGAAAATGTAAGTTGTTAAGGAATCTATGTCAAATCAATTCTAGTTAATCTCAGGTTCTTTTGTTGTCCACATGACTTCATTAACGTCCAGTGAAGACCTTTTTGTGAATCGATACATTTAAAGAACACACTTGGTCAAGTCACTTCACTTTATTCTCATTAAGAAAGTAGGAAAAATTAACACTTTAATTACTATGACAGTTAGCATTATGTGTCAGTTCGACTATGCCATGGAACCCAGATGTCTGGTCAGTGACCTAGCTATCGCTGTGATGGTAATTTTATGCATGATTAAAACTTAAATCAGTAAACTTTGGAAAAAGCAGATCATCCTTAATAATGTGGACAGGCCTTAGCCACTCACTAGAAAGCCTTACAAGAGTGAGTTTCCCAGTAGAGGGAAATATTCCACCTCCAGTCTACTCTCTCTCTCTCTCTCTCTCTCTCTCTCTCTCTCTCTCTCTCTCTCTCTCTCTCTGTGTGTGTGTGTGTGTGTGTGTGTGTGTGTGTGTAAGTGTCTGTGTGTTTGTCTGTTTGTCTGTCTGTCTGTCTGTCTGTCTGTGTCTCTCTGGAGAACTTTCTTGCAATGCTTGCAATGGCCTTAAAGATGGCAATGTAATGGGGGATAGGAAGACCACTACTCTGTTCATCCTCAAGAGAGAACAGTCCTTAAAAGATGACTTTATCTCCTTCCAGGCCTGATCAACATCCATTTTAAATAAATAACAATAAACTCTTTATAAAGACAAGGTAGGAAAAAGATGGAAAGACGTGTAATCAATCCAGTTGCTCTGTTAAACTCTCTGTAAGGCACAAAGCAATAAGTAATTAATACATCTTTACATATAAGATCTACCCATCTTACCTGTTTAAAATGAATTCAACCAAAGTGATAACAGAAACCATCTATTCCATTATTCCATTAATGATTCAGTTCTCCTACACTTTAGACACCTAGGACACAAAATCACAGACCACAACCCTACACTGGGCATATCTCAGGTTTGCAAACTCTGGGGTTTTTATCTATCAAATACAAGATCTTGAAATGATCATTGAATGGTTCTAATTGAACTTGCCATCATTGAATGCCCAGGGGCATTATTAAAAGTTTCATGGCTCAATAAATTTCCTGTTATTAGTCTCATTCATTTAGCAATTTAATAAATGGACAATAAACACACTAGCCTCTAAAGAAGGAAGAGTTCCAAAGCTTTTGCAGTTTCCATGACATCAGCTTGTGTGGACATGGAAGCATTGCACTGCACACCAGGGATGTTAAGGCCATGCACAAGCAAAACAGCACCCATGAAATAGAAGACATTTCATAGAATTCCACGTATATGAAATAGCCAGAATGGGCAAATTTGTAAATGTTGAAAGTAGGTGAATGGTTTCCAGGGACTGAAAGGATAGAGAAATGAAGTAGACTGCTAGACAGCATGTGTTCCTTTTAGAGATGTTGAAAATGCTTGAAATTTAGGTTTGATTTTATGATTCCACTAGTATAGTCAAAAAAAAAAAAAAACACTCCACTGTGAGTTATAACAATAAGGTTAGTAAATTGTGATTGATATGAATCATCCAATTAAAAGCTTGCTTAGGTGTTTTTTTTCTCTAATCTACTTCTAATTGTTTTCATTAATTCTTTGAGAATTTCATACATTGGTCATCTTCACCCTGCATCCACATCTCCTCTCAATCCACCCTCCATTTGATACACACCCAACTTTGGGTTCTTTTTCTTTTTTTAGCTCATTGAGTACAATAATTGCTGTCTATATATTTCTGAGTATGTGGCCATCCAACAATGTGTGTTGAACCTCCCAGAGACCACACCTGTAAAGTAAACTAACACTCCCTCTCCAATACCTAGCAACTACAAATTGCTCCTTATCTAGGAGTGTGATTTCCTGCCTGCCTCCCCTCTCCATGTTGGGATTTGGACCAGCTTGAGCTTATACAGGTTGATGCATACTGTCATAACCACTGTAAGTTCACATGTGAAGCTGCCCAACTGTGTCTGGAAAGCACTGATTCCTTGTAGTCATACACCTCTTTTGGCTCTTAAAACCTTTCTGCTTCTCTTCTGCAATGATCCCTGAACCTTAATAGGAAGATGTGCGATACAGACATCCCATTTAGGGCTGAACATCCTACAGTTACTTATTCTCTACAGTTTGACCAGTTGTGCATCTCTGCATTAATAGTCACCTACTGCAAAAAGAAGCTTCTGTGATGAAGGCCAAAAGGTGCATAAATCTATGGGTATAATGACAAGTTGTTAGGAACTGGTTTAGATAGATAGATAGATAGATAGATAGATAGATAGATAGATAGATAGATAGATAGATAGATATACCGTTAGCAGAGTAACATGACTGAAGTAGGTTCTTCCCTAGGGCCTATGATCTGTCTAACCATGAGTTCTTATCCCCAGTAACTGTCCCAGGTATAATTTCTATCTTTTGGAGTGGACCTTAAATCCAGTCAGAAAGTAGGTGGTTACTCCCATGATGTTTCTGTCACTATTGCACCAGTAGGCATATCTTGCCAGGCTGGTCATCATTGCAGCTCACCAGGTTCGTAGCTGCATAAGACTGATAAGTATCTTTCCCCTCTAGCAGTGTGCATAGCATCCTCCAACCCTATGAAAGCCTTCCAAGTCAGTGCCAACTGGATTCCTCCATGTCCTATGACTCAAGTATGTGGTGTTTACACCAATAGCGTTTTGCCATCAAGTTCTGGAGAGTAACCTAGAGCAACTCAGGATAACAAATAAGAAGCCCAGTGCCAGGAATTGGTTATATATAATGGAGTTGCTGGCCGGTGAAGTCACACAAAGCCACAAATATTTATAGACTAGGGTAAGATGAATTCTCAAAGTGGCTTTATTTTGCATTTCCCTAGTGGCTAATAATGTTAAACATATTTTAGAAATATTTCTCAGCTATTTGTGTTTTATCTTTCGAGAATTCTTTCTTTAGCTCTATGCTTTATTTTTTTGTTGTTGTTTTCTTGATATTTAGTTTTTTTAGCTTGTTATATATTCTAGATATTAGCCTTCAGCCAGATGTATAGCTGTAAACATTTTTGCTCTTTCTGTAGGCTGCCTCTTTCCTCTGAGGATGGTATCTTTTGTTGTAGAGAAGCTTTTAGTTTCATGGGGTCCCACTTACCAGTTGTTGGTATTAATGCCTGCACTACCAGGAGCCTGTTCAGGAAGTCCTTTCCTGTACCTTTAAGTTCAAGTTTATTCCATCCTTTTTCCTTTATCAGTTTCAGAGCTTCAGGTCTTGTGTTGAGGCTTTTGGCCCATTTGGAGTTGAGTTTTGTGCAGAGTGGGAAATAAGAATCTAGTTTCAATTTTCTACATGTAGCTATCCAGTTTGACCAGCACGTTTAAGATGCTGTCTTTTCTCCAAAGTGTGATTGACATCTTCATAAAAATAAAATTAGGAGGCTGTGTGTGAGTCTTCTGTTCTGTTTCACTGATTAATGTGTCTGTTTTTATACCTGTACTATGCTGTTTTTGATGTTACAGTTCTATAGTATCACTTGAAATCAGGTATGGTGATTCCTCCAGAAATCTTTTTATACTTCAGGGCTGTTTTCTTTTGTGTTTCCACATGAGATTTAAGGTTTTTTTTTCAATCCCTATAAAGAATTGTGTTGAAATTTTAATCAGATTTCATTGAATCTGTAGATAGCTTTTGGTAACATAGACATTTTCACAATATTAATCCTACCCATCCATGAGCATGGGAGATCCTTCCATCTTCTGATATCTTCTCCAATTTCTTTCTTCAGTTTCCTAAATTTCTCATTGTACAAGTGTAGATGTAACCAACCATCTTATTAAATAAGAAACACAGAGCCGATTCAGAGAAGAAAGCCAAGAGGTCAGAGCTAAGAGCCTCACCCTTCCTGATTCAGCGGTCCTCTTCAGCCAAGAGAGCTCTCCGAAAGGGAGCTACTTCCTGTGTGTATGTCTTTATATAGTCTAGCTGTTCTGCCTTCTCATTGGTTGTAAACCCAAACACGTGACTGCCTCGTCACTGCCTGTATGTACCGCCCTCCAGGTCCTTAAAGGCGTGCGCCACCGCCGCCACGCACTTGCTATGGCTCTAATAGCTCTGACCCCTGGACAACTTTATTTATTAACATACAATTAAAATCACATTTCAGTACAAGTAAAATACCACCACATACAAGTCTTTCATTTATTTCTTTAGATTTATTCCAAGATATTTTAATATTTTAGGCTATTTCAAATGGTATTGTTTCCCTAATTTCTTTCTCAATTTGTTTATTATTTTTAGATAGTAAACTTACTTGTGGGAGCCCGTTTTCGGGTTCCTTGTGGCTTTACCCAGCATGTCCGCATAGAGGATGATTAGGACCACGGGCCTGAGTGCAGGTGTCTGAGATGGTCTGCACTTGGCTGTGCTGGGGGAGGAGGTCTTTTGTTCCACCCCTTGGCATCTCTATAAATACCCTGGGGCAGAGACAGTTGGGGCCCGTTGGAAAAGGTTCCAGGCCCTCTCGAGGCTATCCTTTATTTTCTATCTGTTTATCTCCGCAATATTCTCCACAATAAATCCTTCTATCTAATATTTCCTGCTGCTCACACTCAAGAAAACTCTGGGGAACTGTGGGGTTGGTGGGTAAACGCCCCACACTTACTGATTTTTGTAAGTTAATTTTTGTATTTGTGTGGTAGTTTGAATGAAATGGCCCCCATAGGCTCATTGGGAGTGGAATTGTTAGGAGGTGTGACCTTGTTTGAGTAGGTGTGGCTGTATTGGAGGAAGTGTGTCACTAGGGTCAAGCTTTGAGGTTTCAGAAGCTCAAGCCGGGCCCAGTGTCACTCTTTCTTCCTGCTGCCTGCCCATCGAAATGTCGAACTCTCAGCTACCTCTACAGCACCATGTCTACCTGCATGCCACCATGCTTCCCACCATGACAATAATGGACTAAACCTCTGAACTGTAAGCCAGCCTCAACTAAATGTTTTTCCTTTATAAGAGTTTCTGTGGTCATGGTGTCTCTACACAGCAATAGAAGCCCTAACTAAGACAACCCTGCTACTTTGCTAGATGGTTTATCAACTGAAGGAGTTTTCTGGTGTAGACTGTAGGGTATTTTATGTACAGAATCATATCATCTGCAAATAAGGATACTTCAACTTCTTCCTTTCCTATTTATATCCCCTGTGTCTCCTCAGTTGTCTTATTGCTTTAACCAAGACTACTGTTAAGCAGGAGCAAGTACAGTGGACACTCTTGTCTTGTTCTTGATTTTTAGTAGAAATGCTTGAGCTTTTCTTCCACTTAGGATGATGTTAGCTATAGTCTTCCTATATATTGTGTTTATTGTGTTGATATATGTCCCTTGTGTTCCTAAACTCTCC